AGTGCTACGTTTCTCCCTTCATTTAATTACGATAAAATTGTCTCGAGACAGAATTTAATAAAGTCAAGTCAAGCCTGCACTGCACACACGTATATCATCGAATATCAACACCATAATGGACAATTATAAGATACAACAGCGAGTTACAAAAAAGAAAAAAAAAAAAAAAAAATGTAAAAAGAGCCACTTTTTCGTAACATATAGTCGATAGTCAGTTAGACAGCCAGACAAAGAGATAGATAGACAAGTGTACAGTGAGAGTCATTCATTCAATCTACCATAATATTTCCTGATGTATTTGTATAACTGAGGGGACAGACAGATACATATCTAGTTTTTCGTATAATGTCGTATACATATACGTACTACAATAGGCGCTACGTAGAGACAATGTTTATTTTGACAAACATATCTGTATGCATTATTGTGTATGTACACATACAAATATGTTTAAATAGAATAGTATACATATTGAGAAATAATTAAACTATATGAAGCGGTCAGGTATCGTATAAGCAAAAGCTTGTCCGGTTTTAAATGTGTTAATTCGATGTATGCAACACTATCGCTGTGGCATTAAACAACTGATCGCGCAGTTGCTATTGCTGTTATCGCTTGATAAAGAGCACTTTATTTATGAAATTATGTTTATTTTTGTTTCTGTTCATTTTTTTTTTTTTTTTATTATTATTAATTTCCAATCGATATTTTTTCATTCTCTACAGTACAGTACTTTTGACAATTCTTGTAATTTTTCTTTTATTTATTACAATTAAGCAGCAATGTTTACAACACAGTATGACAGTCTTTTATGCAAATGTTTGACATGAAGGTGGATTCGTTCTTTTATTCAGCTAGAAACTGCACTTTCACGAATAGTCTTTTCCTTTTCCCTCCCTCTCTTTCACCCTCTATCTCTATCTCTCTATTCATGTGTATTTGTTTGCCACAAACTTTTTCTCCCTCTTCAATAATTCTTTCGATTAGTTTCTAACGTTGAAACGAGATGGCGAGAGACACATCCGAACTAGTAGTTCGTACCTTTAAGTTCCCAAGAAAGAAAAATTTGCTGGCTTTCGTATCTATATCGATATACGATAAATAGTTATATTTTCGATTTGATGGATGATTTTTATATGTGTCGAGAAAGTCACAACCCCTTGGCGTCCATCATTGTTATTTATAAGATCGCCTTAATAAATGGGCATGATCCGTCCACAAACGCATCCAAGATAGAAACAAAATTTTGCCTTATTTTCGCCAATATTTGACCGAAAGAGAAATTTGTCCAGAACACCGAATGTATTGACTCTACATTAATTATCGTGGAAGGACTTGCGCATTAAATTGAGCTGGTATCTCGTTCCCCCACTACCTACTCAAGTAGAAAACAATTATGGCAATTACGACAAATAAACGATCGCTACCATAATGAAAATCCACAAATTATGATTTCTGACTGCTATGGCTAACAAAATCCGAAAAAATTTTAAATCAAATTTAAATTTGATCCGGTAGTTGAACTGAAATAAATATCTGGTAAACATGAACGCATCCGCCAGAAATAGACATGTAAAAAATATAATTTTGTTTTACTGTTTGACTGGTCATACCCTACACCGCTTGCCGTACAAGATATGTTGAACTTGTTGGGTTGCATGCAACATTCGCAAGAATTTGCGATAGACACACTCTTTATTATACAAATCGATTCAGAATCACTTTTTGAATCACCTCTGAATCGATCCAAGCTGGTCTGTCTGTCGTTCATTTCTTTTGTTGTTCAACCCACAGATCGTAATTTTTGGTATATTTTCATGAAATTATGTACATCGACATGTTTTGGTCCAAGAACGAACACTATGGGGAACGATTCAGACTGGACAACTTTTTCGATCGCTGTCCATATAACGCCTTATTTATAATATCGTTAAACAGACAAGTATAATTCGTCATGAATATGTATGTATTAAGCGAAGTAGTTTTGAAGATTTAATAGCCAGTTGTAGCTGACTATAATGTTTTCACTTGTTTTTTTTTATGGGTTTATTACATCCGGGGAAAAAAACAGAAAGGAATAAACGTAAGCTTAGTTTAATTTGAACGTTAGTTAGCAGTTTGAACGTTCAAACAAAATATTATAGAGCAGCGGACAGACGGACGAACAGCTGAACATGAGTAAGTAGATGTTGAATTTTATGCTGCCTAGTTATTTACCCCTGTTCTTCAATGATAAGCTTAAAAATATAGTAAATGTTGTGTAGCTAGCAAGACACCAAGTCGAACGATCAGTGCGAAGTTATTGATTATCGAAAATATATAATAAGATATAATAAGATATTTATAGTGATTTGTAGGGGGGAATTAATAAAAAATGCTGATTATTGTGGAACAGCTGTTATCGAGTTAACGGTATCCGTTCACCCTTTAACGAAAATAAAGATAACGTAAAAGTAAAGCCTAAGCCGAAAAAGTTTCGCATCTTCTTGTATTTTTTTTCTTTCCTCTGCACTCACACTAAATGCTATGTGCCAATTTTTTATAACGAATATGAAGTTTTTATTAAAAAAAGACTTACTGCATACGCTCTATAGCATTGTTTATAATAATGTACAGTGCTATTAATATAAATAAAGAATAGAGCAAAAGTAATATATTTTATTATGTGTACGTAAGCATAACACATACATTCAATTAATATGACTGTCTGCCTGTACGTTTTGCTTTGCTCTGTAAACATTTAACACTTTCTTTCGTTAATGTATGTGAGTTCTTAACATTTTCAGTATAGTATAAACTGTATGTTGTTTAACATCAAAATCACTCATACGAAAAATATTTAAAATATGTCTTTTAACAGTACTGTTGAACTGTTCAGCTCTTTTATCGAAATATTTTACATTCCAATATAAATGCCTAGCATACCCATACAATAACAAAACTCGAATTAGATACAGAATGACGAAGACTGATACATTTAAGTAGAGAGATTGAAAAAACGAGAGAGTAAAATAACATAATTCTATATGAAAACAAAAATTTATCAAATTCATTAAGCACAAAACTTGTTTCAAAATGCCAAGAGTGCACCTGATCTTGTGTGTCATTATAGTACACTCTTGCCTTTAACGTTTACTTGTCTTTCTCCATATAAATGACGTTCGTTCGCTCTCTCTCTCTTTCTCTCTCTCTCTCTCTCTTTCCGTCTCTCCCTCTGTCTTTTTTTCTTTCTCTCCGTCTCTCTCCATCACCGACTATCACCGACTTCTCATGTTTTGGTACGGTTAAGGAAGCAAGTTATATACGAATTTCCAAAGATAGTCAAGTCAGCTACGCATAGGTCGGCATTGTTAAGAAAATCACTGCTGCAAAAGGTGCAATAGATATGAGGATGGGTATCAGAGATTCGTCTTTTTCTGGATGTAAGCTTTCTCGTGCTCTTAATAATACTTCACTTTCTTGCGGAGATCCCAGCTAACTAACATATTGTGCAGAGTGTATGGATTGTGGTTTAATGTGTTGTTTTACGAGTTTTTCTATTCGATATTTTTCTTTTTGTTTCTCTGCCTTTTTATATTTATTATTCTTTCTTGGTTTTTGTTTTCGCTTATTTCTTTTTTTGTTTTTTTGTTTTTTTTTTGTTTAATTTTATTATAGTTGCAAGTGTATTTGTACGTGTGTTTAGTGTATGTAGAAATAATAACAACAGCAACAACAATCATATTGCTGGTATATGTAGTGAATGGAGAGCTGACTGTGGGCCCTAACTACTACCTCCATAGTTGTGCTCAATGAACTGGTTGTTTTAGTCTTAGAGTTTCTCTTGATTCTGCGCGATCGTGTGACGCGTTTTTGTACGTTAACGCTTATAAAAAAGAAAAAAAAAACAATCACATTTGTGTGCCAAAACCATTTGGTTTAGAGACCCCTCCCGTCCTTTCTAAACAATTCTTTCCGCCCGTGTTGTTTAGGGCCAAGTTCTTGAGCGAGAAGTAAAGTTGATTTCGTTTTTTTTCGCTTTTTTTTTTTCTTTGGTTTCATTTCAAGTGAATTCAAAGTGACTGGGACTGGGAAAAAGTTGCCATATATAAGTTAAAAAAAAAAAAAAAAAAAAAAAAAAGAAAAAAAAAAAAAAAAAAAAAAAAAAAAAAATTAAAAAAAAAAAAAAAAAAAAATAGGAAGTAATAACTTTTGAACATTTGTAAATTTTATAAATACTAGCTTCATTATCTCCACCCTATTCGTATTCTTAATCCGATGCATATATGAGTACATATGAGTGCATTAGTGCGTATGTGTACATGAATTATTAGCACACTCCTTAATGCAATAATAATGCAACGAATAGTGTAAGTGGTGCATTCTTGACAGCATAAGAAGAAAGAGTGTAAGCGAAATAGTAAAAAGCAAATAAAAATCGCTAATCAAAATCATACGCACATTACATGCAAACATCTAAGTGATCATTAACCTCTTGTGCTAAGTGAAAGAAAGCAACAAATAAATAATCAAAAGAATGAAAAAGTAAAAGAAGATAAAAAAAGAAAACATCTGTTCAAAATAAGAAGTTTAATGTATGACTTTGCGTACGCATGCATATATATATATATATATATATATATATAAATATATATAAAATATATATATATATATAAAAACATGCGTGTATGTTTGTGTGCAAATTTGTATAAGCGGTAACAAAACAAAACAACAAACGAGTGACAATCAATCACGATCATCAGTCTCTAAATAAACACAATAGCAACGACTTTGTATTATTATCGTTTGTTTGCCCATTGAATACAATCGTTGTGATCGATACAATATGCACTCGTATGCACACGTTCGCACACGTCTACCATAAAACCCTTGCTCGCCAGCATTTGTAGTAGACAAGTTTTTGAATTTTGCAAAATTTTTTTCTCGATTCATTAACTAAACCTAATAATAATATACGCTGAAGAAAGAAGTGCCAAAAATTAGAAAATAATTTTAAAAAAAAGCAAAAACAAACAAAATATACAAGCTACCAGCAACAACAACGAAAGAAAGAAAAGCTAGATAGAAATTTACGCAAAGAGAATTAAGAGTTACATATAAATGAACACATACATACGAGCGCGCGCCTATTTTTATCTGAATTTCATCATCGGCGTCATCAGCATCATAGCAGCTAAACAGTTTGCAGTGTCTTCAGCAGCTTCGGCTGCCTATATAATCAGCCATTAGTTTCTATATAGTTTTTGTGTTCGTTTATTTATTTATTTATTTTTTTTTTTTAATTTTTTTTTTTTTTTTTTTTTTTTTGGCATTTCTCCCTATTGGGGTAAGAGAAATATAGGAGGAAACAAAAAAGAAAACAGAGCACATTGAATAGAAAATCTGCTGATTTTAAGAAGAATACGTTGTTATATTATAATTTTATTATAAAATATAACAAAAGCAATCTTACGCATGAAAAACATTACCAGCTCAGGCACTTGCGGCAACGGTTTGCTGCAATTGCAAAACAATTTAGTGGTCAGTCATCAATTGGAGAGTGATGATGACACTAAACAGAAAGGTTTGTTTCTTTTTTTTTCTTTTACTTCAAATCTCTTTCTTTCGCTTGCTCTCTTCGCTTCTCGCCTTCTTGCTTCTTTATGATCTAATAATAATCATTTGAATTAAAAAATAACTTTCATACAAATTACTTTCACCTGACTGACTGACGATGCCGCCCGCCCGTTAATAATGCAAAATTCTCAAACTCGTTCAACGGTAACAGAGAATCGGGACTCAGTACACATATTCTTACAAAATTTTCATTTGCATTGTAAATCGATATCATCTGCCTAGAATAGTGCCTATAATATCTACTCGATACTACTCCAACGTTAAAACGATGCCTAAGATGTCATAAATTCTTCTACATCTCCTTATGCTACGTCATGTATTGATTTAAAATTTCCTAAATACTGCATTACGTTATATAAGTGCTTCAAGTAGGGACAACCGAACTGGCCTGTCCTTTGGTTTTCTACAACAAATTTTAACACAATTCCAAGTTTCAACGTAATATTATTTGGATCAGAAATATATATAATATTCCAAATTTTTCGATATATAAACAGGATTTGGATCCATCATAGATTCTTATTTACTGCACAAGCCAAATATTGCATAATGTAAAGAATATTGAACCTAAGAAATAAAATGACACTAATTAGTGCTAAATACCAATGCAGGAGATAATGTACAAGTTCTACATTATTAATTCGAGGAGAAGAAAAATGTATGAGGGGCGGGCCTTCGGGCGAAATCGCGCGATGTTTTGTCTTTTAATTTTAGTTTTTTCTTCTTCTTTTCTGATTTGCCTTACCTTTTCATCCCTCAGTTCAGTTATTATAAATTTTCGTTTTTATTTGTTTTTGTTGTTATTTGTTCTTTTTATGCCTATCACCGGAGAGTGAGGTGAGTTTATTCATTTTGTCAAAACGTTTGCAACACACAAAAAGAAGCGTCGCACGCCCCCGAAAGTATATGCATTTTTGATCAGTAAGAATGGCGGTCTTTTCGTCTGTCTACCTGTCTGTCCGTCCGTCCAACTGTGTAGTATCTGCGATAAATATGTTTTCGTTGGCAATAATTAAAATTTGGCCTTCAAATATACAAAAGAATTTGAAAATGACCCAAAGTGATCGAAGGACACACTCACAATGAAACAAAAACTGGAAAGACTTTTATTTTTTGTGTGTTTTGCGCATTGCTCGTTAACTGGAACAGACATACGATAATCGTTTCCACTTTTACTAGGCACGCCCGCCTACTACCAAAGACAATGGGGATCTCCCCCCACCCCCCCACCCGCCATTTTTTTATAATCTTTCTTTTTAAGATAACAATAAGGAGTGCAAAGCATTCGGTTATAACTGAATATAAGTTGGTTACTTGTTAAAAATTAAAAGCTTAGGGAAAAATTTATTTAATTCTATTTCTGATAACTCAGATTGAAAGCGAATTTTAATTTTGTGCGAGTACAAGTTATAAAGGGTCGAGGAAAGACACTGAAAATCTTGTGTTCGATATAGAAAGTCTTGCAATTCGTAATTCGTTTTCATAACGAATCGAAGGTACAGATATATTTTGAACTTTATTACGAACTTTGCATCCAATTCGTTTTTTTGAAATTCTCAAAAATTGAAACGCCCATGTTTTGGGTTGAAACCGGGCAGCTTGTGAAAACGGATTTGATCTGCGTAAAATGCGGCTGGCAGATCAACACAACTTTCAAAAATTTTTTTTCAAATTTCGATACATTTTCATCAATCGATGATGCACAGACAGACATCGATAAGAAACTTTCTGTAATCATTTATTAGAGACTCATAAAATTTTTGGAACATAGAAATGAACCAAAACGACTTATTAAATTTTCCTTCTCTCTTTCTCTTTCTCACTCTCTCTCTCTCTCTCTCTCTCTCTCTCTCTGTCTTAATAGGAAAAGGTTAATTTTTGCTGTGTGTACTTAAGATGCTTCCTAAGTCGGCTGTAACGCTTGCTATTTTCATTTTTACAATTATTATTATCATGTTTCGTTTACTCATTTTACCACGCTTTAAAGAGAAGCAGCTTCGTAACATGCGACCGTATACACCCAAGGGCTTAAGAAAACAAATTCAACTCATTATAATCAATTAAAATTCGACATAATTCCGTTTATAAGGAAAAGTAACGAGAAGCCAGCCAACCTACTTTTCCTAATGGGTCATTGGTTGCAGGTACTCGTATCCCAAATAAATAAATGAGACGAACTGAGTATGTTTTGTCGGTTGTTTGTGTATCTGTGTTTCTTGCTGACAATTGTCAGTCAATAAGCCAAGAGTGACTCAGTCAGTAACGTGGTGCTAGATTGACAATGTGCTGGTTGATGTTGGATTGGCTCGGCTTGTTATTGTCTTTCAGAGTTGGTTGTATTCAGAGTTTTAGTTGCGGATAAAGCTTAAGAGATATCTAGCACCGCCTGGATTTTTGTTTTCCATTTATTTATTTATTTATTTATTTATTTTATTATTATTTTTATTTTGATCTTTTTTTTCTTTTGTGTTTTTTTTTTTTTTGATTTTTAAAACTTGTTTGTTGTCGCTGCTGCTGCTGCTGCTGCTGCTACCGTTTTTATTGTTGTTGTTAATAATGACGGTGATTCTTTTGTTTGGCTTGATCATCTTCCTTTTGGAACCGCAGCTCAGCGGCAACCAAGAGCCAACAGCGAAAACAACGGTAATAACCAGAAGCGGCAGCAAGCTCTAACGCATTGAACATGTTTTGTAAAGGGGCGCGCGAGCTAACCGCATACAAAAATGAGCGAGTAGCCGTGCGCCTCGCTCATGTTTAAATGCTTAACTTAGTGTCTCCGGACAGCAAGATTTCATTTTTTTTTCCTTTTTTTTTTTTTTTTGTATGGAGTATTTATAGTTGTTTTTATTAATCGTCTAGATATATAGATACACATATTCATATACAAAGACGCACACGCACACATGTTTATTTATATATATATACATATATTTTTACATTTACATGTATAACCATATATGTGTACATATTGTTTTGTGGTTTTCATTTAGCAGTTGGTTGATAGGTTAGTTGCTGGTCTTGTTTCTTTGCTGTGTGTATTTTGTTGTTGCTAATATCTGTACTGCGTTTTGTTATGTTGCTGCTGCTACGGCTGCTGTCGTTGTTATGTTTTCTGGTGTTCGGTTGCTGCCATCTAAAGGAGTTTTCAAATAAAGAAGGCAAGACGAGAAGTTGTTGGGCCAGTCGTTGTGGTTTTTCTTTCTGGTGCTTTTTTCATGTATATGTCGAGATAGGCGATTGTTTATGCATATATGTGTTCGTGCATATATTGTTTTTTTTCCTTTTTTTTTATTTATTTATTTATTTTTGTACGTACAATTGTTGGCCGTTGTTGTTGCTGCCGTTGCTGCTTTTTCTCGCTTGATTTGTATTCATTTCATTTTCATATCTGTTTAAACACAAACAGACGTAACAGATACATACATATCTAATGGGCTTGTGCGAATATAGACAACAAAAATAACAATAATAACAACAACTACGTAGGCAAAATCAACAACATTTACAATATAGTGAAATAAGCGACAATGCCTGTTGTTCGCAACTTAAGTATAAAATTTTAAAAGTTTAAAGAAAAAAACAATTGAATTTATATCAAAAATATGTAATATATTATTGTATATGGTAATTTTAGTCTTTCCAAGTGGTATGCATTTTGATATAAAGCACAACGTAACATGACAACGTAAGTATGTCCAGAGTCGTGATCCTAATTAACGTCAAATCATCGATCCGTTGATTATATTCTTCTCTCTTCAGTTCAACTAATGTTTAATTGTAAACTAAAAATTCATTAAGATAGACTGTTGTTATTGCAACTTACTCAAATGCTATCTCAGTCTACGAAAGGCTATAAGGCTTAAGATATAACTTATTTTAGAGACTCGGTGTGACTAACCTCCTAATAGGTAAAACTTTTACAAATATTTAGAAACATTTCTTTCAAACGTAAGACTTATAACCGCTTTCAAAAGTATGTTCCGACCAATTATGTGGCCTACAAACGGGCAAACGTGTCCCAAGTCTCAAATCACAATGTGAAATTTTCATACATTTTTTTGTAAGTGGTACTCATGTAAGAACGGACCGTAAGCGTTTCTAGAGTGAAAATACATTTGTCACACCATGCAATTTACAGTAAGTATCGTCCTAAAGTATATATACTTTAACAATATTGGAGAAAATCACTTTAGATCGGTCAAATGCTACATCCACCAATCCAATCGATATCACCATCTGCAAGTCTTATATATATATATATATATATTTGCTTGAAATTTCGATCAATCCAGATATTCTTCACGACATGTTTGATAAAATTCATGTAACCAAACTGGGATTATCATATAACCGAATCGGTGTCCGTCTAATGTTTTACTATACCTAATAGCAGTTATAGTGAGTGCTTAGTTAGTCAAGGAATAATAGTTGCGGATTCGATACACAACAACTACATATTGGCCCATCTCTCTTTCTCTCTCCCTATCTCTTCCCCCCTTTTTTCCATTTCTTTCCAATCATCTTCGGGTCAAATGTGCTAGAACAACCAATTCGGTTAGGATGCATTTTACGTATTCTATAGGAGCAGCGAGTGAAAGCGACGAAGTCGTGCAATATATGACCAAAAGCGAAAACAAAATTCGTGTTTTCGTTTGCTTAAGAGATCTTAAAGCAACATCTCATTTTGCTCAACGGTTTTTTCTTCTATCACAAACAATAATATCGGAAACCGCTTGACGGCGTTTTAGTTCTAAAAGCTATCAAAAAAAAAAAAATTTCCATTCATTTTAATAACATTTGCGGATATATCTACTAAAAGTTTCTTAAGTTTTGTACTATAGCTAATTAAAATTAATATAATTTTTTATCTTGTGTGCTTCTTTTTTTTGCTTTCAATATACGCATATATATATATATATATATATATATATATATTCTTTTTTTTTT